AGTAGTGAATAATCTTGAAACAAAAGCAAATCAATGGGAATTATGCAGGATTGTGTGTCAATTTCTGTTTTCAGCCTTGTTTAGCACATTTGAAGTTTTAATGAATTCATGCTCTCCACTAGTGGATGTGCTAAACTGTTTATATGACTTAGAGCAGCAATGTAAACATTTCAGTTCTCTGGAACTGCGAGGTTTTACATTGCAGCACTAAGTGCAATAGGGACACAGCCCTCAGACCACTTTAATAAGCTGAAGTGGTCTGGGTGCCTACAGTGTCCCTTTTAGTGCTTAGACAGGGATCATTAAATTGTAGGGGTGAACGTTCAATTAAAGATCAAGTCAGGACACTTGCCATCTATGCTGCCTCATTTCAAGAATTATTCTGTATAAATTGTATGTGACATGGGGTTTGCATATTATACACCATTGCATTTAATTGATTGATTGTTTGCAGTTTCTAAAGCTTTTCCTTAGCTTCACAAAGCTAATATCAGTAAGAAGTATATTTATATATATTTCATCATTGTGAGAGGTCAAAGCAGAGTTAAATGTCTAAGTGGTAACCATGGGAGACTCTGGTCCATTCTCAGGACATTGTCCACCTTCACTAAATGTCACAATACCGTTTATTAATAAAAGGGACTGATTTCAAAAGTAGTACAAATTACATTACAACAATTATTGCATAATAAGATTCAAAAAGAGATCTAAAAAACATCACTTTCTATGAAAATAGATATATAGTATCAAAAAATTCTAACTTTCATTAGAATTCGATTTGCTTATTTATTCTCTTCTACCAAAACACATTTTATATCAATTAGCTGCAAATTAAATGTGTTTAACCCCTTAAGGACTGGACTGTTTTTGCGATGTTGTACATTTGCGACCAGGCATATTTTTACACTTTTGTGGTGTTTGTGTTTGGCTGTAATTTTCAGCTTTCTCATTTACTGTTCCCATACAAATTATATATTGTTTTTTTCAGGACAAAAGGGGCATTCTTTACATACCATTATTTATATAATCTCATGTATTTTAATTTAAAAAAAATAAAAAATATGATGAAAAATTGAAAAAAATACATGTTTTTTGACTTTTACTTGAAAAATCTTTTACTCATCTACAAAAGCGAATGAAAAAAACTGCTAAATAGATTCAAAATTTTGTCCTGAGTTTAAAAATACCTAGTGTTTACGTGCTTTTTTGCTTTTTTTTGCATGTTATAGGGCTATAGGTACAAGTAGGATATTGCGGTTTCAAAACATACATTTTTAAAATTTATCAATAGTGACATTGTAACACTATTATCTGTCATAAATCTCTGAATAACACCCCACATGTACATATTTTTTTTAAAGTAGACAACCCAGGGTATTCAATAGGGGGTATGTCCAGTCTTTTTTAGTAGCCACTTTGTCGAAAACACTGGCCAAAGTAAGCATTCATATTTGTTTGTGTGTGAAAAAAGTAAAAAAACTAAATTGAACGCTAATTTTGGCCAGTGTTTGTGACTAAGTGGTTACTACAAAAGACTGGACATACCCCATTTGCAATACCTTGGGTTGTCTTCTTTTGCAAATGGTATGCCATCATGGGGGTAATTCTCATTCCTGGGCTACCATAAGCTCTCAAAGGCAACGTAACCAACCTGGCCATTTTCAATGTAAAAATATTTGACCCATATATTTGACCTTGTAACTTTCAAAAATGCTATAAAACCTGTACATGGGGGGTACTGTTTTACTCGGAGACATCGCTGAACACAAATATTAGTGTTTAAAAACTGGAAAACGTATCACAACAATTATATCATCAGTAAAAGTGCTGTTTGTGTGTGAAAAATGCAAAAAAAGTAACTTTCACTGACAATATCATCGCTGTGATATGTTTTACTGTTTTGAATCACTAATATTTGTGTTCAGCGAAGTCTCCCGAGTAAAACAGTACCCCCCATGTACAGGTTTTAGGGTGTCGTAGAACGTTACAGGGTAAAATACAGTGCTAGCAAATTAAATTCTCTGGAATTTCGGCCTGGGTTGGCAGGCAGGTCCCTCAAATTGCAATCAATAAAATTACTGAATTATGTAAAAATATTACATAAATACGCACGTAGAATTTAAATATATATGCATATTTATATATTTGAAGTCTACGTGTATATTTATATAATTATTTATGTAATTTTGTATATGGACGTATGTATATTTCTTATTATTTTTATTTATTTTTATATACATAGATATATATACAAATTCATTCTAAGTGTATTTTGATATAAATATATATATATTAATTTTAAAATACAGTTAGAATAAAATTTCATATAGCTATATAATTTTTTTTAAATTTTTTATTATTATTTAAAAAAAAATTATTTAATTTAAATTACTTATTTATATTTTATAATAATATATATATACAATATATATAGTTATTATATATATTATATATATACGTGTGTAATTTAATTATAAGTGTATTTTTATATTAATATAAGTACATATTAATATAAAAATACACTTAGTATGGCATTATATATATAGATATAATATATGTCTATATATCATATATACACAAATATAATTTTTTTTATTTTTAATTAACATTAACTTTATTTTTTTTTTGATTTTACACAGCAGGGAGACTGCCTGTCAGCACAGACAGTCCCCCTGCAGGCAGACACATGGATACCTATTGTGACCATGTGATCGCTGTGTTAAGCGATCACATGGCCACAGGGGTCCTAATTCAGTGTGGGGAGACTGTCTGGGCTGCAGGCAGTCTCCCCACAACCGGAGCCACGCTGATCGCCGCCGGGGGAACGACGGCGATCAGGTAAGTAAATAGGACTGTTAGGACGGTTCAGGACCGTCATCGGTCCGCAATGGGAAAATCCCGATGACGGTCCTGAACCGTCCTGGGTCGGGAAGGGGTTAAAAACAAGCAAAACCTTGTGTGAGCAGCCCAGATTTCATTT